GTAATAAACTCTTATATAAGATAACCTTTGTAAATACAAATCAAATACTATAATATAATATATAGTAGAAGGATTAGAAGTACTAAATAATGTAATAATCTTAATCTTTGCTGTTGTTATTTTTTCCTGAGCAACGCCGGGCTCATCTGCTAGTTTTCAAGATTTAGTCATTTTTCACCATCTTTTTGATTTAAGACTTTTGCCAAATATTGAATCACATGCATATCGAATTTTATAGTCGAGAGATCGCGCTAGTGGCGAGTTGTATCTGGTAACGTGGATTTTCACGATCGCGAGACTCGCAAATTGGCGATATTCTGACTGCAGAATGGTGTGGCCAAGCGGTCTTCGTACCCTGAACACTGGAAGTTTGGTCTTGGGTTTGCGCCTCGCTCGGACGGTCTGGCCACGTGGCGTTTTCTCGTCTGTAACACCTAAATAGGGGACAGTTTCCCTTAAAAAGACCTCCTGGAAGGCATCACCTAGACAGATTTTATTTCCCACAAAAAAATTCCATGACCTGTACACTATTACCAAGTTTGATAACATTTTGTCCAGTAGTTTTCATTTTATGGCCATTTCAAAGTGGAACTTTAATTATAATCACCCTGTATAATAAGTTATGAAATATAACTGTCTAACATCCAGGCCATCTACCTAAATTATATTTTTGGTAGATTTAAAAAGTATAATTTTTACAAAATAATTTTATTTTTTAAACCAAGATATCCAACTATTTAAAATGGTCTCTCCTTAACTTATGATGGGGGTTATGTTCTGGAAAACACATCATAAGTCGAAAAAAAATAGGCTATGTCTGTTGAATGTTGTATCATAAAGTGTACAGGAAAAAGGAAAGAATGAATGAAACAAAACAAAATGTACAGAAGTATACTATGCTAAAGATTACAGTGTTACACAATAATCTTTCAAATATCAAAATCCACCAGAAAAGTATGCAATAAAATTTTATTATAAAGTCTTAAAAACAATTTAACACGATGGTGGAATGCTTAGATATTATCTTAAGTTTCTCAGAGTAATAATTATCCCTCTTCCCACCAGTAGCATGAGACACAGTGGGGCATTTTGCAGACATAATGGGTATATTGTAAAACACAAGATATAAGATGGTATACATAGAAAAAAGTCTCAAGAAAGATCACCAACGCACCAATAGAGCAACTTGAGTTCAAATTTTAACTGTTTTTTCCCCCACGCTTCTTCACTTGCATTAGCCATTGTATGTTAAATGTCCTAAGTCAGAGAGTGTCTGATCTAAATTTCTTGAAAAACAAAAATTACAAAGACAGACATTTATACTGTAGTTTAAAACTGAAGGCAGATCGATTCTATTGCGATTTCCAAATGACATCACAACTTTAAGTTTTATAACATATGCAAATCACACAGAATCAACAAATGAGTAACATTGAAATGATTGGCATATTTTTACAGATCAACAATGCCATATTGTATATAATACTCAACATGAGAACATATAGACTTATGTAATAAATAATAGGTAATAAATTTTTTACAAACACAGTATTTGCCAATTTCAACAATATTGTCTAAATAGTTTTGAATTACAAAGAAAACTTATCCTATGAGCCCAAATTATTAGATTGGCCTGACCTGTAAAAGTTACTGCTACTGCTTATTATATTATTATTAATAAATACAGTCAGCAGGATGCCAATGTGGTTAAGGTGTTGGCCTACAGCTCTGAAGAACATGGGATTGTATCCAGGCAGATGGAAAAATCCCAGGTATTTTTGGGGTAGCTTGTCCAGTATATGTTAGACTTTGTCCCTCACCACCTGGCTGTCTCACCCATAATGGCTTTGAAAGCTCTCTTAGTGCCAACAGGATGGAGAGTAAAAAATAAATAAATACTAAATACAATCCACAAATAATTCTAACACAATCAATTATGAATTTTTGCTAATAGATGGATGAGATTTATTGTACTGGTGTGGGTATTTCAATTATAACTGCTCACTAGAAAACCAGTTAGTTACTTATAGATAAACTATAGGATTATTTTTTTGTTTAATAAAAGAAATTCATATTGAGTTAGAACAAAACATAAAACAACTAAGTTTATATTACTTTTAAAAAATCAATTTTTCAAAAATATTTTTTCAAAATTGATGAAAAAACTTTATGGGTTAATTGTACATAAATAACCCGTTTTTTTGCTTGGACCGCATTTAATCAGAGACAAAGCTTTTATTCGTATTCTTTATTTATTTTCTATGCATTTCGGGTGCAATATTTTCTTGTAATTTGCACCCCTCTTCAGGATTTTTACATTTCTATAAATTTGGTAAATTTAATTATTACATCGGTAAATTACTACAATAGTTATACAATGGTTAACTAACCTGTTTTAAGTTTTAGATCGACATCTGCCCAGTGCTGATGTTATGTCCCCTAAAGCATTTTTAGACCGTTCATTCAAAGAGCACTTCGAAATCATTAATAAAAACAAAACCATAAACCTAAATGATGGAATGGAGGTTGACGACGTGTGGGAGGAAATGGGAGGAGCTAAAGGGAAAGAAAACAAAAAGAGGGGGAAACAGTCTAAAAATGCCTTAGGGGACATAACATCAACACTGGGCAGATGTCGATCTAAAACTTAAAACAGGTTAGTTAACCATTGTATAACTATTGTAGTAATTTACCGATGTAATAATTAAATTTACCAAATTTATAGAAATATAAAAATCCTGAAGAGGGGTGCAAATTACAAGAAAATATTGCACCCGAAATGCATAGAAAATAAATAAAGAATACGAATAAAAGCTTTGTCTCTGATTAAATTCAATCCAGGCAAAAAAACGGGGGTTATTTATGTACAATTAACCCATACAGTTTTTTCATCAATTTTGAGGAAATATTTTTGAAAAATTGATTTTTTAAAAGTAATATAAAGTAAACCGCATCATGGATATATACATATCTATTACTTATAGCAACTAAGTTTATTTTTAATTATTGTCTGGAAACAAATTTGCTAAAGCTCTATTTTACCAAAGTATTAATGGATTGTTTCAGTGTTTTTCAACCTTTAATAGTGTCACCCCAACCTGGAAATTTTTTCTTGCAGTACCCATACTTCTTTATCAATGTAGTTATCACATTGTACTTTTAAAAATACATGTAAGGTCTTGTTCAGCATTATATTTCACAGCATCCTGAAGTGTCATTATGGTACTCCAGTTGAAAATCATTGCTGGATTATTTCTTTGCAAGCATGAAATACTGTTTTATAGACAATCTTGTGAATATCTTAATGAAGTAAGTTAAAATTGTTTTCTTTTCCTTTATATAAGTATAATATAAAAAAACTGTGACGCTTGTTATTAAAAAAACAATTCCTAACAAGTATGTTTTTTTGTAATACCAACTTAATGACTGTAAGAAAAATATTGGATACCAGATTTTTTTTGTTTTAGGCCTGATTCATTTACATATTAATGTTACATCATCATAAAGGATGCAATTTAAAAGTTTAACAATTTATTCAGTAATAATGAATATAATAGAAGTTTGAATAAATTAGCAAGTATTCTAAACATTTCTATGAAGTATATGTCAGTAAATGATAATTTGGCTAATTAATTAGCCAAATTCTAGCTCAAAAATTAATTTGGAATTATTATTTGATTATTACAATAATTCAGACTTTGTTTTATATTTGTATTTAAATGTAGAGGCATTGACTATATGGTAATAATATAGTTTATTAAATCTACATATTTTTGTATTGATAACTGAAATTAATATTTTAGAATGAAAATGTTTTTGTTGAAATTTCATTAAGGACTTAAGGATATTGATAAGGAAAAAGAATGACTAACACTAAATTAAGCAACAAACAAAATTTACTATTCATAACATCATTTATTGCTTGATACAAATCAAGAGTTTTACAATTCATAAATATTCATATTTACTGTAAATTTATCAAAACTGATATAGTTTGAAACAAGAATAAAATTCGGAATTTTTTTGAATTTCATATTCATAAGAAAGAGAAGTTTCAAACAAAATTAAATGGAAGACTTGGTACCAGTATTCAATTTAATTCCAATTTAAAACATTCCTTTAACTTCACATTCTTTTTTTTTAAGAGTCTGTTTCTAAAACTTAATCAAATATTACAAGGAGAGTAGAAGGATTACTATCATAAGACTATTAGTTATGAGAACTAACAAATCTTTTTTAGGAATTACTTATGTAAACATTTTTTGTACTACATAAAAAACCTGACACTAAAAAAGGCCATTTTGTCAGATGTTCATATTCATGGATATGGAGTCAAAATTTATCAATTGTCATAAGATCATTATTAATAATCTTCAAGAAATATACATTGGACAAGTTAGTAAGTTTTTAATAATACAAATTTCTTCCAAAATTCATTCTGATAAAATTATCTTAAAAAATTTATTTCCTAATTAAACTTGATGAAAGTATTGTTGAACCTAATTCTATAAAATTTTGCATAGTATACTATCATCAATTGTTTGTTTTCTATACTTTTTAAAGTGCTACTTACCTGATTAGGAGTGATGATAAATACTGTGAATTTGTAAGCTAATTCAGTATTAACATACATTGATAAAAACTGAGAAAGATATGTCATTTAACACACCTAAGCAGCTGGATTTTTAAAACTATGATAAATTCTAACATTTAATTTTCATCACATAAATAACAAGGAAAATAACTGTTGCATAATAATTTACAGAATGTGAATTTTTGATAAAAACCACATATTTTTTCAATATAAAATGTACAAAGATCTAATATTACAACTTGTCTTGGCCCCATTAAACAATGCAATTATTAAATTTGTTTACAATGAGGCATATAATTAAATTATAAAATCAACTTTACTTATATTTAAATATTGAAAAAGCACTTCCTTTATCTTTTTGATATATATATTTAAAAAAAAAAAAAAAAAAAAAACAGCAATCATCATCAAAACAAATTCAGATTTTTAATGTTAACAATGTTTATAATTTCATTTTCTTGATAAACATCTTCATAACTTAAACTTAACATTTCTTAATCAAAAAACTTTTAATTTTGGATCAAAGTTCTCAAATTATAACAACAGAAGGCACAATTATTACTTTTAAACTATTTTTTTGTACTTTGACAGCTCTCTGAATCTTCACTTTCGTTAACAGGAGGTAAATATTGATTAATAAAATTTATTGTATCTTTTAACTCCTATATATAAAAATTTACATAATTAGAAATTGTATTTCATTTATTATTATAATTTTATATAAAAATGGAGTAAAAAATTATATAATACTGTGAAAAATGGTTATAATTTAAACTATCCTCATTTAGATCTATCTGATCATTAAAAAGGAAGAAATTTAACAAAACATGCAAAACATGCTTTCTTGAACATGGGTGAAAATATTTAATTTTAAAAGTATAATCTTCAAAATAAAACTTTTATTAAGAAGGAAATGTCATGTTATTGAAAGAGATGCATCAAAATAAAATGTCAGATGAACAAGATGGCATGCAATAGGAAATGAGTTATTGATTACTGTATCTTTAGTGAGCTAATCTTACATCAGACTGTCAAATCACTTTAAATACAATGTTTAATTTGACAATGGCTTCCTGACGACAGCTTTGAAATCAAACAATACAAAACAGCTTGTTTAATAGCATTTTAAATTATTATGTTTAATAGTAATTTCTATGTTACAACAATTATTGAACACTATCAAGACTGATAATTGCAATATCATGTTATAAGACCCATACACTGATAAATTTTGAAATTCAGAAGCAGAGGGAAATCTAAATATTAATATTGCAAAAATATGACTATACAAAAAAGCCTTTTTTGTTTATTCATATTAATGCAATATTAATATTAAATCATAATTAATATTTTGCTATATTTGCCTAACACACAAATAACTGCTTGTTATTTATGGTTATTGTGACATTATCACAATGCCAGGCTGCAATTTTTAATCATATTTTTTTATTTAACTTAAAATATATACTCTCCATCTCAAATTAGTAGTGGCTTGCCCCTGTACATCATACTTTTCCTTTAACAATAGAGTCGTGTAATCATCTATCTAACACCTTTCCGGAGAAATTTTTTGAATTGAAATAATATGACTTCCAGTTAGCATTGGAAGTTTGTATACAGTTAATTAGGGCCTCCTGCCCTAAGGTATCCATATCTGCTCTCATCTTTCATCTATCCAACCCCATTTTCAAGATTAAGGAAAGACAGGCAGACAGAGAATTTATCAGGCTACAGTTTTTTCAAATTGTGGCCCAATAACAACAAAAGCATAAGCAACATGAATTCTACATTTCTACAATGAATATGAAACAAATTTATTTNCAGTATTTATTACACAAAATTTAAGTAAAGCTTAACATGCCGATCTTGCCCCGGTCTCCCCTATGCTAAGATAATATTGAGGATGTCGAAAAATGTACGGATATGTTTGAATAGTGCTGAGATATTTTAAATATGTTATTCTAATGTTAGAATGTTTAAAAGATTTTTAAAAATATATCTAAAACTTGCTCTGAAATCTTGATTATTAAGGTATCATAACAAACAAGAAAGAATTCATCTGCATCAAAAGATTTTTAAAAATATAAATAAAACTTGCTCTGAAATCTTGATTATTAAGGTATCATAACAAACAAGAAAGAATTCATCTGCATCTAAATATTAGTATTTGACTCACACTTGGTGCTTTTCACTTAACTACTATAATCAACTATCAATCACACAAATATTTTTTTTTACTATCAAAATGGTTTTCATTTATTCTACATCAAATGTTTAAAATTTTAACTGATCAATGTTAAATTTTATGAAAATAATAATAGCTATTATTTTTAAATAATCAAATCATATGTAACAAACACTTGTAAGATTCTTCAAAATGATAAATCACCTACTCCATAATTGGTTTGCAATTTGAAAAAATTGTAGATCTGTAAATTCCCATTGTCATTCGTCTGTCTTTCCTTAATCTCAAGAATGGAGTTAGATAGACAAAATTCAAGAGCAGATATGGAAACCTTAGGGACAGGAGACCCGGTTAACTATATACGAGCTTCTAGTGAAAACTGGAAGTCAAATTATTTCAATTCAAAAATTTTTCCCTGAAAGGTGTTAGATTGATGACTGGCACAACTCTATTAAAGGAAAAGTATGATGTACAGGGGCTAATTTGAGGTGGAAAGCATATATTTTAAGTTAAATAAATTAGAAATATGATTAAAAATTGCAGCCTGGCATTGTGATGATGTCACAATAAATAATTGCTTGTTCTGTTGTACAATTAAATTTAAGCTATTTTCTATTTAATTCTGTGATGAAATTACAGGATAAAGATGGTCTGTACATTAGTCTTTTTAAAAATATTTTATATACAATAAAACCTAAAAATAAGCTAAAATATTTAGTTTATATCATAAATTCTATTTATTTTAGTAATATTTAAATAAACTGAAATAATCTTCATGTGCAAACAACAAAATAAGAAATTTTCTAGCAAGCTATTCCTATTACTAATTAAATTTGATAAAGTTCAGAACATATCTACAAAAATACTTTTTATATTTAAATATTTAAAATTTAAGTTTTTATTACCTCTTCACAAAATGTATGCATCATACTGGGATATATTTTAAATTTTGTATTTGACATGAATTTCTTTATATATTCAGATGTCAATTGACCAAATTCAAATGGGACTATAGGATCAGAATCTCCATGGCACTGGATCATGGGTGTGTTCATATTACCAAGAGCATCCTGATAAGATAATATAAAATAAAAATTAATAAATTAAAATGTTACTATAAAATTTTCTATATTTTATGAAATTATTATTATTACTGAATTGGCACAAAGTTAAGAAAATTTTGTTATGTCTTAATATATTAATAATTTTTAATTAATTTTAGTCAATTAAAAATTAAAAATCAATATATTAAAACTGAAATTTGATTACCACATAGCAAAAAATATAGAACAGGATGATCTGTATTTTTTATTTTTATTAAGATTTTTGATTAGGTCTATTAACTAATAAAATCTTATATATTCTCCACAGGATAAAGAACAAAGCCATGTTACTTGCATATGTATCATTCTACCATAAACTCAGCTGATTCATACCAAACTATTTTTGTTTTTGTATAGCACACTAGCCTGGAGTATCCAAAGCTGTTATCTTTCACTTTCAACAATAAATAATGAAAGCAATAATTTAATTTGTAAGGATTTTATGTTGTTCTAATTGTATGATTTTGACACTCAGAAATTGTTGCTTTTTCCTTGCAAAGATGGCGACAGATGACACACCAGTCTGCCCTGCGGCTTTTTCAACAGCTTTTTCTATGCTTAGAATTGGATTAACTTCCCCAATGCAAGTTGTCTTGAGCAAATATGCTCAGGACAACTTGCTTTATTTGATTTCTAATAGTCTTACATTTACAATTCATGTTAGAATAACAACGAGAAGTATACACTGAAGGTAGTAGCATGTTTGCAATATCAGTTGCCATTTTCCAAAACATGTCTTGCTGCTTGCATTGTGAATGACAAGAATTGTTGACAGCTGTTGAATTGTATCAATGTACCATATACAATAATCTACAAAATAATGTTTATGACAAAAACTAGATGGAAAATGTAATGATAACTTGCATCATTGTTCACTGCTATATATTACTGCATATACATACCCTTTCTTGACAGCTATATACCAGTTTTGTTCTTTATCCTGTATGGAGTATAATATCTTTCATTCATGCACTTCATAAATTTCTATATACATCAATTTTAGGATTTAGTAGTTTCTATATTTGATTGGCAATGATTTATTTGTATCTCTTTTCAGTATCATATCATTCTATATATTTTTTTTTATAATGATCCATCCAATTGTTAATATATGTATACAAATGAAAAAATATACTTAATATTATTAGTAATTAAAAGAATTTGAATTTAATACAATAATCTTTGGCAAGATTTAATTAAGGTTGTTATAAGATTTCTTGAGATTTAGAATATTTATTGAGAATCTACATTATTTTTCTGTTCAACTTAAGTATCTTTGATAGAATATTATAAATTTTGATTTTTTTTAACCATCAATTTGATTTTCTGTATTTTTTTAACAAACTTTGAATTTATGTAAGGCAAGAATCATACTGGTTTTTGAAAAATATTTCATAAAATAAATTTTTACCAAATGATATTTATTTTTATTCCAATTACAAAACTAAATACAAATTAAATAGTAAATAAAATTTTATTACAAGATTTAATTATAATTTTATTACAAAATTAAAACTAGAAGCTTTAACTTATGACATTTTATATTTTTGATTATAAATTAGAATGTAAATTAAAGAAATTACATTGAATTAATTTGTTTTATATTTTTGATATTATTTTATTTATAATTTATTGTTCAACATAATGAAGTTTTGATGAACAACAAAGAATTTTGATTCATTAAATTGCACTGATAATAAATTATAAATAAAATAATATTTTTATGCATTTTCACATAGAAACTTTTTATGGAATAAAATCACAAATATATTAGCTATAGTTAGATCTTATCAGATTTTCCATTCAGATAATTAACATGTTTTTTTGTTGAGTTTACTTCACATTTTCTATATTTTAGATAATTTTTCTATTTTATGAAAATTTTAAGAATTATCTATAGAAAACTAGAAAAATAAACTAACTGAATGAATTTACAGTAAAGTGAAAAATAAAGCACTCAATATAACTGAGATGAGATTTATTGGTTAAATAAAAATAAATATTAATATGTACATAAGATGTAAAATTATTAGATTTTGTAACTAACATAAGTTTAGAATCTAGTTTATTGTATTTAAACATAATCTAAAAAATAGTACTAATAAATATGAAAATATTTTTATCCTAAATATAATCAAACTTTAGATATACACAATTCTTACATGAAAAAATTCTATAGTTTAGAAAATTTTGAAAATTAACAATTGTTAGAATCAAGTTTATGAATAACTGGCTAATATTTTTACGTGCATAAATGATAAGTGTCATTCTATGTAGTGTACTCATTATTGATACATTTGAAAATATCAGTATTAAGTGATTAGATAATATATACTTAAGATGATATATAGAATTATATGGATGTATAACAAGAAGATTGGTCTTTGTTAGAAAAGAACAAGCCTTTTCAATTAAATTGTATTTTTAAAACAACTACATGTGAGGATTATTTGTTTATGGACATAAATTATCATGTAAATATACCTATAACAGAAGGCTGACACTTGATCGTTTTTAACATTGTGAACCTTTTTTTTTACTTATTGTTTACCTTTGTTTTAAGAAATATATTCTTCAAAACCATGTTAACTGTTACTTCTGGGGTTGTATAAAAAGGATTAAGATAGACTCAAAAATTTGATTTTTTTTGTAAATAGTCTAAACTTCAATTATGAAGAAATATATCCTGAGTAATTACAGAAATTGTATTATTAATTCTACAGCTGAGATGTGGCCAAAATTATATTTTGATGTATATATTTTATATCTTTGTATAAGAGTAGACAAATAATAGACCTTTAGAGAATTTGCAGTAACTGTAGTTTGCAAACGTATAAAATTTGGAAATGTATTCTTTCACTGTATCAAATTTGAAACAAATAGAAAAAAGTATTTGACAAGATTTAAATCCTGAAAAGATATAATTATCATGTTTTTCAAGAAATGATTATTTTTGTGTATTTTATTTTGTGTTATTTTGTATTAAGCTATTTAATTAATTTGTTAAATTTTACTAATTTCAGATTTACATAATACGTATAAAAATGATTATTATTGTATTATTAACAAATTAATATAATTTGTTAAATTGTACTAACTTCAGTTTTTATGTAACCCCCTTGTAACAAACTAAGGTTCATACAATAAAGAATTGAATTGAATTGAATATGGATGTATAAGAAAAGATGATATACAAATATAAATTAATGTCAAAACTGAAATTATTATTAAAATCAATAAATTTATATTAAAGAGTAAAAACCTTGTAGTCTTTCTATGAACTTTTACTAATGTGTAAATCCATCAGCCAGTTTTTAAAAAATTTTTATATTAGTTAACAATAATATCATTTTTTGTCATAATAGTTACAGTTAAACAAAAAACATCTTTAAACTTTGTTGTTGGACTGTAAGGAACCAAGTCCGAGCATTATTTTTATTTACTTTTATTTTTGCTTTTTATTATATTTTTGTTTGGGGCTTATATTTTGTTAGGACGAAGGTTTCCTCACCATTCACCTTAGAAACTTAAAAATAGAAGAGAAACCAACTCACTGACGAGAGAAAAGCGCCATAGGAAAAACTTGCGCATCCTTGCGCTCCCAAGCGGAAAAAAGTAAGTCCGCACCGAGAAAAAGGGGGGGGAAAAGACCCCACAAGCACAACTTAAATTCGCTAAACCTTAAAAGAATAAAACATCCTGAAAATTGTAAAAAAGAATAATGTAAAAGGTTAGTGAGTGTTGTTGGAAAATAGGCTGCCAGACAAATAGATTGTTAGCAAATAAGTATGTAAATGAGGGGAGTGATCACATTCAGAATTGTGACGTCACCTCACAGTATAAAGACTGAACGTCAAGTGAAGACGGACAAGGTGAACTCCAGTTAGCAACAAGCTTGGTGAGCTTCGTAGCAGTGAACGAAAGAGGTGTCCGATAGGATCAATAGTTTCAAGGCAATTTTGAAGTTATTCGATTGGTGGATCGACGAATAGAAAAAGTCTTGAGAGTTGAGGAAATAGGTTCCTAGTATATTGAGGTGACGATTAGGATCTTTAATTCATAAGAATTATTGTATATAAGTTAAGTCTTTGAATTTTGTTGAATTCCAAAGGGGAATAGATTTAAGTTAGAAACTAGTTTGATTTGTTTTGTCGGGTTGCTTCTTATTGATTTTCATTGAATAAATTGTTATTTGATTTTTACTAAATTTTGTAAATAGTTTATTACTAGAAATGAATTAAATATTTGATTTGTTATTGACAAACTTTGTCATTATTTAATTTCGGTGCATGCTAAAAGTCTAGGCCTGGCACACTAACGCGAATCTGCATAAAGTACCCGTTAGGGAACGGCTATTTCCGGCACACAGTCGTGTCAATAATCGTTGGAAAAGTTGGAAAAATAAAATAGTACTTTACAGGACTAAGGTTTTGGATTTGAGGATGTTTTATGTTTATTTATTGTATGATTATACAGAAGATTTAACTTTGTAATAGTTAGTTTTATATAAATATAGTATACAGTCAACTCACATTAATACAAATTGCTAGGGGAATAGTAATTAGTTTGCTTTATCAAAAATTGTATTAATAAGTTTCAGGATCAAGATCATATAATTTACAGAGTTAATGATTAATAGGCAATCAAAATCTCTAAATTATAATATTTTAAAGTAATTAATTAAATTTAAAGTTAAATAAAATTAAATTTATTTACAAAACAAATTAATGTTCTAAATGATTTTCAAATCAATTTAGAGAAGACAGCATTCACTGTTTAACTGTGGAGCAGTATAACAGAGCAAAACAAAGCTAACAGAAATCTGTAATTTTTTTTCTGTTGAAGATTGGAAAATATTTTTTGGTGCCAAAAGAGTAAAAAAAAATTTTTTTTACACAAAATAGCCAAACCTGGAATCACTGTGTTCACTGCCCAATATGCAAACTAGCATGTGTCTGCATAGAACAATAGCCATTCAAAGAGACAGACATCTTTTAACTTCTATTTTCTGAGAACAGTAAATGGTATGCTGAAACAAGATGTTTGAATTGCTCTACAATTGGGGTCAAACTGGTCTTTGCTTACTAGGAGAAGAAAATCTATTTACTCAAACAAAACATTTATAACACAGTACCATTTTGCTTTGAGAACTTTTTGATGTGGATAATAAAATCATTATTGAAAGTATGGTTATTTCTCGGGGGTTGCAAAGATAATTTACAGTTTTGTTTAATGAATTCTGGTAAAACTTTTGTTTGCTTTATCGCATGAAAATTAATGTTATGACAATGGCATTTTGCCAGGGCAACAGCAAAATTCATTTTAATGCAAGAATTCACTTTATTGGTGTCCATTTTAAGGTGTCAACTGTACTTGATAAGAAATTAAACTGAATGGTAATAGTATATTGGTATCTTTCAATTTTTATGGTCTTTGAGTGATCAAATGAAAATGTTTGTTTGTTAGTTTGTTTAGTCATGGCAATGCAACACTTGGGTGATCTGCCTAGGGGGGATGCCTTCCAGGTGGTCTTTTTAAGAGAAATTGACCCCTATTTAGGTGTTACAGATGTGGAGAAAACCTGGAAAACTCTACATGGCCAGCCCGTCCGAGCGAGGCGCGAACCCACAACCAAACTCCCAGTGTTCAGGGAATGAAGACCGCTTGGCCACTGGTGGGCCCAAATGAAAATGACTCATAAAAAGTAATGTGATGAGTTTGGCAAGTTCCTTGACTCAATGTGTAATGTTAGTCCATTATTATTGTTTAAGTTAAGTTTTATAATAAATGAAAATAACTTACATTTCAAAACACAATTTTTATACTAGAAAGGTACAGAAAATAAGGGAGAAAAGATGCCTAAAATTAAAGAGTGGTTTATGTGAAAATATTCTGAATTGTCTGTCTATAAATATTTATGTTTACAGAGTTCAGTAAATGTCAATTTACAAATTTACAGTGTGTGTGTGTGTGTGTGTGTGTAAAAGAAAGAAAACAAAGATTTATCATAATCAAAAAGTTATCCGAGGAAAGAATTCAACATTTGTGTATATTTAAAGGAGAATCCAACAAAAGCACCAAAATCTTTAAAGCATTCATCTCAAGTGACTTGATTATCTATACCTGAGGAAAATTATTAATCTTACCTGAGGAAAATTTGTATGCAAAGGTAGCCAACAACTAAATGCAATAATTCCAGCAAGTGTTTTCTTATACCTTAAAGCTGAATACAGAGCAAGAGCACCACCTTGCGAAAATCCACCAATTATGATTCTATTGGAGGGAATGCCTTTACTTTCTTCGTATTCAATCATTTGATGAACTAATAAAATCAATTTAAATATTAATAATTAAGAATAACATAAAAATTTTGAACTTTTTAAACTATCAAATACTTTTTTCAGTTGCACTTCTTATGCCTTCTTCATCTTCAGGCCCTTGTAAACTAATACTTTTTAAATCAAACCAAGCAGGCATTGAAAAACCTGCATTTATTGTCACTGGAATTGTTGGCCTAAATATATTTAAGTTTTTTTTTTACATTATTTAAGAAATTAAAATAGATTAAATATAAAATTAACTATAATTATTTACATTGTTTTACCTTTACAAATAAAAAATTATTAATACAATGAAACATAGAAATCACAAAATAATAATACTTACGCTGTAGGAAAAACATATTTTATGTGAGATGCACGAAATGGTGAAAATATTGACGACCAGCCATGCCTATTAATTAAATTACATTACAACACCATATATATAAAATTTTTCTTCTTTAAAATGTTGATATTATTTAAATTAAATCAACTTACCCAGTATCTCCAAGACCATGAAGAAATATAATCTGAAAGAAATTCAATTACTTTTATTTTTCACACATCTTTGATAAGCATTAAATATGTTTATGTCCAATATTTTAAAATATTTGACACAAAAATTAAAATTGATGGCAATGTTAGTACACTCTAAGAAATTTAAAAATTTAAGCTTCTAATTATTCAGATTACAGTCCAAATTAGTTTGATAGGATAAGGCAATGCAGCACTCGAGTAATCTGCCAAAGAGGAAGTGGCTCCTGAAGGCCTTTCTGTAAAAAGTTGGCCCTGTTTAGGTTTTAAACACACAGCTGCAGATAGAGACATTGGGAAATTTCCAGAGACACTAGTAGAACTGGTTCCTTCATATTCATAGAGGCTGGCACCTGTCCATATATTTCCTGCACTGATTGAACAAGTCCAATTCATCCATGTAGACACATGAAGAAAACCCAGAAAAATCCATGAAGCCAGTACATTGGTTGGATGCAACCAACCACCAATTTTCAGTGGTTTTATCCAATCAGCCAATATTGTGCACTTCTATTATTAATTCTTTACTCTAAAATCAGAAAAATCTTCATATTTATACTTTTAATTCTGAAGTTAATTCTTGTTTAACTGAATTACTGTTTCATTAAGACAGAAATTTGGTATATTTGATTAACAGTATAATATCTATATATTTATTTTTAAAACTGATTCTTTTCATGATTTTAAAAAATTATAAAAGTAACAGAATAGAAATGCTGTTCCATCTCATTTTTCTGTGTAAGAATTAAAGATTAATTTGATCAAGATATAAAATATTTCTCAACCAATTATGTAAAACATTTAACAACTTCAATCTGTTATCTTTAATAATTTTATATTTGTTAAGAATATACCAAATTATCCAATTTTATATGTTACTAATTTTAATTTAAAAATTTTGTTTGATATTTTTAATATTTGAGTCAAAACTTTTTAGCTTAAATTCTACATTATATAACCTTGAGAATAACAGGATATTTTTCATAACAGTTATGTTGCAATCTACACAGCATCAAAACATACCAACTTAAAACTGAATTATTATTTATAATGTATTTTTGAATTTTTGATTTTGAAAACATTTATATATATATATATAAAAATTAGTCATTAATATAGGCCTATATATAGACCTATATTAATGATTTCTGGTCAAAATCTTTAACAATTTCCAACATTTGAATCTGCAAAATCTAAGAATTTTCATTATATTTAATCTGTAGTAAATGTCAATTATTTTTAAGTATCCATCAAACATTTATTCAACACAATTCTTTATTAAAAATGAAATATGACTATTGGTGGATGATAACACTTACTGTAAAACAAAAATCTTGAAAAGTGCTCAAGGATCTTGAAAATTTTATTAAAGTTTAGAATCTAATGTTCTCAAATGAAAATATTGGTAAGATCATCATAAAAGTTCCGTAAGCAATTTTCAAGATATACAAAATTTTCTGTACATTTTTCAAGTAAGATGCATTATGATTTTCTTTAGAATTGTCTCAAAACTTACAATTAGAAAAGTTTCCAAATTAAATATTTATCTTTATTAAAACGCATTTGCTGTTTGTTTACCATCCTATTAAATATGCAGCACTTCATACCACTTATACTTGCTCCAGCATGTAAAATTTAATGAAAGCACAAATGTTTTCAGCCACTTTAAGGAGCCTTCATCAGGCAAGAGATCCATTTTGTACAATGAACAAGATACAAAATAAGTAAATATAAGTGGTTTGAAATGTTTTTAATCAACTGTTCCAGCTTTTCAGTGTGTTTAAATATACAACAAATATATGGTCATATGGTATTCAATATTTATGTAATAATAAAGTAAAATTTAAGAATAAATAATAGAAAATATTACTTATTGAAAGTATTTCATTAAGATTTTTTGGGTTATCAAAGCCATAATTTAACAAAAAAATATGTCAGCTATTAAGAGATTAAAATTTATTTATTTTCAGAGAACAATTTTCTCTTACATCATAAAAAAAGTTAATCTTTTCTTATCTCTATCTAGAAAATCTAAACAATGGGGATTTCTAAAATATATATAATCTTAATTCATATCGTGCACTTATCACGTAATTTGATAAAAGAATTAAGGATACTGAAATATTTAATCTACACAAAAACCAAGCATTGTAGTTAACAATAAAAATCCATAGTTGTATAGCAAAATATGAATAAAATCATAAGTAATAATGCAAACATTTTCAGATATTAAAAGAATTAATTTAAGAACTTAAGACATTCAGAAAAAACAAACATGCATAAATTTTAGTGTTCTTGGTAGAATGAATTTGTAAATTAGAACAGACATTGTCTGCTTTCAACTGACATTAAATATACAGTTATTTTCTAAATTATCACAATGACTGGAGTTAAACCAAAAGACAGTTGACAAAAAAGTAGAGAATATTTTGTGAGCTTTGTCTAGATTTGGAAAAAAAATAATCAGACATCATTAGATATTTTGTAACTGCTGATTTCAAACAATGTGAGTTTACAAGATCCTGAATCAACTAGAAAATGGTTAGTAGTAGAAAGCCATGTTTGGGTCAACCAAATGAAGTTTGGATAACAAAGACAAGCACAGCCTGAAGCAAACCCTCAATACCAAAGTTGGTCTCATGTCAGTTTAAACTCAATGGCCTGGGATATCAAGCAAAACTGAGAAGGATAGTGTTTGACATGGGATATGTGGTAAAAAGGTAAAAGTCTAACAGAAACAAACCTAGGTCAAGAATGGTGGTAACAGCAGTGATTATCCACATTTTTCAAAGGCACTAACATATACCTTTCAGATTTGATGTAACAACGGACAATGAAAGTTACTATCCATAAGAGAGAAATACCCAATAACAAGAAAAGATTGCATCACAAGGCAAAATTTGGACAAATGTTATTGGCCTGGCTTACAGTCAAGACTATCAGAGCCATTTTTTCATAGAATCAAAAGGAGCCATAGACCAGGACACTTATGTAACTGAGTGTATTAAGAACATATTGATCTCTTATAACCCAAAAAGCACCCAAACAAATAGATTTTTTGACTTGATCTGGCCACTGTTCCTATGTACAGTAGTATATCAGACTCAAGCTAAACTGATTAAATTGGGCATCAATTTTGTGCCCAAAGAAATTAACCCTCCAAACATACCATAATTCTGAACTTATCACAAAGGACTGGTTTATGCTAATGAATAGCATGCAAAACTCAAGATAGGGACTTGTTAACAGATGGAAAAAGTTTGCAAAAGTTATAAATGGTTCTTTTCCAAATCTCATGTCTAAGTTCATTTTAGGTCTACCATACTAGTACACAAGGAGTCCTCAATACTATTAGTATTATAAATCTGTTACCAGTACATCATGCTATTTGCACAAGTAGCTTTTGCATTAAGTTTTGAATAAATTATACTTCATAGTGAATGTGCATTTTTCCCAAATATCTTAATTGATACAACTATTATATATAATGCTGCTACATGTACTGTGATTATATTTTGTTAAAATTTGTCACTAGAAATTTTAAACATTTATAAATTCAAATCATCATCTAACAATTATAATTTTTTGGCGAGTTTACTGATATATGTTTCCATTATAAAATATTTTTTTAAATTAATTTTATTGACATCTATTTTCAATAAACAAATATTATCTCTTAATTATTAGTTATCAATTCCATATTTTATCAACAAAATGGAAAAACAACAGTAAATAAGTTATCAATCAGCTGGGATTAAATGTTTTTCAAGATCCAAATATATCATCAGATTGAACATTCATTTTTAAAAATAAATGTGAAATGGATTCTAATAAAGAATGCTTTTTTCTTTTTTAAAATTTTAAATCAAAAAATGTATAAAATCTAATTATATATATATATATAAAATTTTCATTGAATTAACTGTAAAGGTATCCTCTTTCATTGTCCCTTTGTACACAATTAGGAAATAACAATTTCACACCAGAGATGACCTTTATTTGGAAGCTACTTCTCCACTTTAACATGAAAAATGTTGATATTTATAAAAATTATACATTTAAAAATAAATTAAATGAAACAGAAGCTTGCCAGTATATGAAATTTCAAGCACCAAAAGTATGTGAAAAAATTTATATATTTTCAAAAATCGTACTCCTAGAACCTATTTCCAGTGTGATGAAAAAAAAAAAACAAAAGAAAAAATTCACCACAAACTTTTTCGAACTTATGCGAGTTCTTCCTCAGGTGAAAAGGGAGTTTCTGATGGGACAGAGCAATCGGTTAAGGGTGTATGTGAAAAAATGCTTTACACCGAGATTGCCAGGAAGTGCTGAATTCAGATCACACACAGAAGATGTCCCACCATATTTCACATCTTCTGCAATGGGAAAGACCTCCCAACCAGAACAGACTACTGGGTGTGTACAGTATCCCCATTAGAGACAACAGATTTGATAGGGAACTCTTTTACATCAGATTGACCAAACGCTCTTTGGAGATCAGACTGCAGGAGCACATAGTAAAAAACATAAATTTAATCTGTTATCACAGATTAAAATAAAACCAGAAATCTTAAAACTAAATAATACTACCAAAAATTAATTTGTTTAAGGCATTTATTAAAAGCATACTTTTATGCTTTAATTAATTAATACTTTACAAAATCAAATCATCTCATTTTTTCCTATAAAATATTTTCAAGTTTGCATTTACTTAATATTGTGAATGTGAAATTTACTGATTTCATAAATTTTTAGTAGAATCGACATACAGTATGATAAGTTTTGGAGATGTATCCAGTGTTACAAGGTGAATTACAAATATTTTCAGAAATTTGATATTGAAAGAGAATTATTATTATTATTATTATGAATAATGGTATTTGCTAAATTACACAAAACAAATATTGAAAATTTGATGTCAGATTGAAAAAAAAACTAAGTAGTTAGAAAAATTTTATTATAAATCTTTAACTGCTACTGAAACAAAATTTTTTATAAAAATTTAATAATAATTACATATATTATTATTATTTCAAAATTCTTCTCACAACAAAAGAATAATTGAATACAATAAGCTCAGCTTATAATCATTTTGAAACCTGTATAAATTGATGACAATAATTGACTGATAACATTAAGTAGAATAAGTATATAGAGATATAATTGGTAGAAATTCTGATTTTCTTGACTGACATCAAAAAGACATGTTAAAGTAATTATAAAATATATAACTTAAAGATTTATTATTATTGATATATAATTCATCTGGTATTGTTTTTCTGCTACCAACTTCAATAACTACTACTATAATGCCAGAAATCTGAACTATTTATTGCATTGGAACAAATAATGATTAGCATAATTAATGTTTAACAGTTAACACATTGATTTAGATTGATAACATGCAATCATTATTAGTTATTGTTATCACACACATTGGGGCTGATAGCATAAAAAGAGGTTAAAAATTTATTTAGCATATTGGTCAATAATTATCACATAGGTAAAATAAATCAGTTAAGCAGAGGAAGAATTGTTATATAACATGCTAAATCTTATAATTTTTTAGTTTTTGAAAAGTATTGGTTTTTTTTTTATGAGTATAAATTTAATTTATTTTAATCAAATAGACTTAGAATAGTATGAAGAAATCAAATCTAAATGAAGTAAATTTTATAGATTTAAAAAAAATATATTTTATCAAGATACTGACCTGAAAATTAATAATTTATTTAAAAAAACTTTAGGCTGTTGTATATATTTTATGAACATAATAATCAGAAACAAAATTCATATAATTTAAAAAATATTCTCAAATTTTTTGAGAGCATTTTTAAAATGTTTTAAATTTTTTTGAATCTTTTAAAAATTTTTCGTTTCATATTTCATTTTAATATTTCAGTTTCTTTTTGTTTGTTACATATTCTCTGACAAATTTTATAAGTACAAAATGACATAAAATGCAATTATTTATTACAGAAAATACTAAATGATGAAATATAAGAAATTACTAAATTTATGCAGAAAAATATGCTTTAACAAATGCAATAAACAAAAGTTATATGATTTAATTATAGAAGCAGTTGTTATATGAAATATATAAATAATTATATGAAATGAAAATTTTGAATATTGCAAGATCAATTGGGTTTTAAATTATACATTAAGACTGAGTACTATAAAGTACATTATTACATAAGTGAGGATATATTAACAAATAAATGATTAGAAACAATTTTTTTACAAGCAATAAAATTTTCAACATATAACTGTCAGCATTACATTGTAAATATTTTTAATAATATTAGACTGTACAAATTGTATATTCATCAATAGAATTCATCACAAGTCATTTTCTTCCCATTATTTTCATATTATTCACATTATACAAAAAATAAGTTTTTACTCTGCAAATATGATCATCTGATGAATTTAAAACTGAAGTTTTAAAACTGTGAAATGCATTATACACTCAAAAATTCTGTGTTTTGGAAATGTCTATCATGTACTGTACATCTTAATTGTAAATAAAGAGAGAAAACAGTGTATTGCTTAAAAATAAACAACAGAATACTATATACTATATTATTAAGAAGTTCTATAATATGTAAAAATTTTAGAACTTGTTTCCAAATTTGAACATGACTGATTAAAACAGTCAATCTGTTGATTTAAAAGATTTATTTTCAATAAAATATAAAGGACAAGACCCACATAAATTAATCATTACTTAAGCATCCAATTTCAAACTTTTATTTTTTCAGATTTGGAACAGATCAAAGTTCCAATATTTTTCATTTTTTTTTTAACAGCTCAATAGCTAAATTTGAAGACAGTCTGTCCAAAAAAGGAACCACCATTTATTCACTTTGCGTTCCAGAATACGAACTTTCGACGACCAACCTTTCTTTGTAGGCTACTTGGCCGTCAAATTTAAAATGTCCTTTAAAAAAAAAACACCGTTCCAATTTTTAAATTTGTATTTTTAATTGGATATTTTTCTGTTTTTTAAAGGACATTTTTATTTCGACGGCCAAGTAGCCTACAAAGAAAGGTCGGTCGTCAAAAGTCTGTTAAAAAATTAAAAAATATATATATATATATATATAAATAGTAAACATATTCTCATTTATAATAATTTTTACTGTTATCATTGTATTTATAAGTAACAAATTAATTATATATAACTTATAAACAAATTTCCATTTAATGTAACTGTAAATGTGTAATTTTCATACAATTACATTAAATGGTAACTGTATGAAGTCACAATAAAGTACTCAATGTCACATTCAAACTGTCTTTAAGTGCAAATAATGAGATATTAACTCAGTTCTGGGTAGAAACTACATTTAATTTGTACATGAATGTGACATTGAGAAGATAAATGTGACTTCTATACATTTACATTTAGGATATGAAAATACACTAACTGCAAATTTGTATGTTTAAATTCACTAATTCATTACAAAAGAGACTTACAGTAGCTGTTTGTTTGGCAGTATTTGATAAAATAACTGGTGGAGGCATGGTTCTCGAGCTACTTGTTCCCATTACTTTATTCACCGTGTTATTTCGGTACCCTGGCTTCGGGCACGTGCTTTATTTATATTTGTTTTATTTACGCTATTTTAATTTTAAGGGAACACTTAAACATCGTCTATCTACAACAACCGTCAACTTTCATCCACCTTAAGCCTTTCATAATACGTGCGTGTATGTGTCTGTATAAATATATATATATACAGTATATAATATATGATAATCGAAAAACCTGATTTGGCAACTGATTAAACGGAAATAAAAATTTTTTTTTAAGTAAAATTTATTATGTTTTTATTTATTAATATTATTCTCAATTTTAGGGTTTTATTAAATAATTTTTATTCTAATTTTAAATGGAAATGAGTTTTGCGAAGTTTTAAAGTGTATTAATATGATAAATTACTTTTAGGATTTTTTTTTAATTTTAATTTAAAATGTCGGTCGTTCGTGATCCTGAAATTATCTTCCTTTTTGCGACTTTGCGTGCTTACTAATGATTCTTATGGCACGGAACGGACAAAATGGAAGCGTAGTTAATTAACTAGCAGCGCCACTCTGGAGACCTGGGATTTTGACCTGACTGATCGAAAAATCCCAGGGGCTGAAATATTGGATCCTATCCCTTACCACTTGGCTGCTCCATTGTGGGCTTGGCCGAACCCATAATGGGCATACTTAAAAAAGACCTTCTCAGTGCCAAAGGATGGAGAGTTAAATGCTTTTATTTCAAAACTACCGAAGGTTGTTTTGAATTACGCACAGATATCAAGAGTAGTTATATGGTTGAATTACAGGAGAAAATTTTAAACGATTAATAAAGAATTATTAGTTGCGTAAAGACAAGTCCCAGTCGACCTTACTATAACTCCAGTAGTGCATGAAATATCCTTCATTTTTGGTCTAGAAAACTGGCTCAACATACATAGGGTACACGTCCCGAAACCTTCCCACTATGCTCAGGGAACAGCAATAGGACGTACTGTACAATATATAAAGAAAAAATGCACTACAATGCTGGCTATTATGGTGACTGTTCTTGAGAACATATCACACTTCAAGGACGCTAAATCTGTAAAAACCACCAGGGACCAACACCCAGGAAAAACTCTAGAAAAAATAACTATATTCAAACATACTATTAAGAAATCATGTATGCACAAGGACGCCGCTTGCTTATCACGGCATCATGAACGCACAGATATCCCTCGTACAACACGGCACTTCTACAACAGGGTTTCGCTTTAATACAGTTTAAAAATTGGTGATATCCTCCCAGTGCCGGTCCGAGGCAAGTTTTAGGATGGAGCGAGATCCTATTATGGCGCCCCCCTTGGTTGCCCCTAATTTATACCCTTTAATTTTCTTTACCACTGAGGCGCCCCCTAAGACTTAGCGCCTGGAGCGGCTGCTCCGTTCGCCCTATGGTAGGGCCGGCTCTGTATCCTCCGTACAACACTCTCCGGTTTCCTGCTAACACTATTCGAGAATTTGAGAAATTCTCCGTACAAAGTTTCACAACTTTTAAGTACAAACTCCATTATTCGATATTTTTTTTATTCGAATAATGGAGTTTGTCTTAAATTTGCCCATGCATTTTAGAATATTAAAATTTTCAACAGGTTTTGTGCCTTTTGTCAAGTTTAATGAAAAGTGATAGTGAAAATTGTTTCTTCCTTGTTCTAGCTTTCCTATTAACTAGTTGTCGTTGCTTTCAGACTTTAGCTCTTAAGACTGTCATTGTGTTTTGTTTTTATACATTCTCTCTCTTCATGTGCCATATCAGGTCATGACCTCACGTCGGCGATCACCCGGCGCAGCTTAATTGGAGATTAGTTTAAGCGCCAAGGCGAGTCCTGGGAAAAGTTAGTATCAGAGTGGTTCCCCGTTGCCTTCTTTGGTGAATCGATGTTACGCGAGGGGAGAAATGCCTTCCGGGAGGTCCTTTTAAGAGTAAGGTTTGTATTCAGGCATTACAAACGTGGAGAAAAACCGAAGAACTCCACGTCCTGCAAACCCACAACCGAACTCCTAGTATTCAGGAACGGAACCATTCGGCCAGTGGTGGGCCTTTTATACATTAATATTCGTATTTAGTAAACTTTATTTAAACATTTTTAGGTGTCATTAAACTTTTTTAACCGTAGGAAAGTAATCATTTGTAAAAGTGCCGAACGAAATACAGCGGTATCTCGGTATTCGAACTGTTCCCAACTCGAATATAAATTCTAGAAAATAAATTGCTCGGTTCTCGATTGAACAAACGCGAACCGCTAGAAAAAATTTTCGATCGATAACATATTTTTATTTTGTCATACATAAAAAGTTTTTTATAATAAAAATAAGAAAAATGAAGACGTTGCTGATATTTCAGATCAAGATCGACGAAAAAGCTCTGAAGACGACAATACTTTGTAAAAAGAAAACGCCCTGGTTAAACTAAAATTAATATTATCGCGCAATACGGTACTTTTAATTATGATTGTTAGTTAATTATTAAAGCAATCGATAATTTATTTCCAAACATATTTCTTTTAGAATTGTATACTTTTGTTAACTACTGGAACCTAACCATATTTTTTGCAGTAGTCTTTTGTTTCGTATAGCACGGATTCGCATAACACGACACTTTTTCGGAACATAACTAGTGTTATACGAGTGATAGCTGTATGTTATAAACCAAGACGATGTTGACTGTAGTGTATTATCATCATTGTATTTTATGGTTTCTTTATTATTAATTTTTTATACTTTAGTGTATGTTATTTTTAGTTGTTCACTATTGATTCTTATTTCGAACACTTCTTTTTTGAAAGTAATCTTTTTTGGAATTTATTTATGGAAATCAACAATAATTTTTGCTGGTAATGTGCCGACATATTTAATAATTTCCTTAGATCAAGATTANTTGATACAACTATTATATATAATGCTGCTACATGTACTGTGATTATATTTTGTTAAAATTTGTCACTAGAAATTTTAAACATTTATAAATTCAAATCATATAGGCCTATATATAGACCTATATTAATGATTTCTGGTCAAAATCTTTAACAATTTCCAACATTTGAATCTGCAAAATCTAAGAATTTTCATTATATTTAATCTGTAGTAAATGTCAATTATTTTTAAGTATCCATCAAACATTTATTCAACACAATTCTTTATTAAAAATGAAATATGACTATTGGTGGATGATAACACTTACTGTAAAACAAAAATCTTGAAAAGTGCTCAAGGATCTTGAAAATTTTATTAAAGTTTAGAATCTAATGTTCTCAAATGAAAATATTGGTAAGATCATCATAAAAGTTCCGTAAGCAATTTTCAAGATATACAAAATTTTCTGTACATTTTTCAAGTAAGATGCATTATGATTTTCTTTAGAATTGTCTCAAAACTTACAATTAGAAAAGTTTCCAAATTAAATATTTATCTTTATTAAAACGCATTTGCTGTTTGTTTACCATCCTATTAAATATGCAGCACTTCATACCACTTATACTTGCTCCAGCATGTAAAATTTAATGAAAGCACAAATGTTTTCAGCCACTTTAAGGAGCCTTCATCAGGCAAGAGATCCATTTTGTACAATGAACAAGATACAAAATAAGTAAATATAAGTGGTTTGAAATGTTTTTAATCAACTGTTCCAGCTTTTCAGTGTGTTTAAATATACAACAAATATATGGTCATATGGTATTCAATATTTATGTAATAATAAAGTAAAATTTAAGAATAAATAATAGAAAATATTACTTATTGAAAGTATTTCATTAAGATTTTTTGGGTTATCAAAGCCATAATTTAACAAAAAAATATGTCAGCTATTAAGAGATTAAAATTTATTTATTTTCAGAGAACAATTTTCTCTTACATCATAAAAAAAGTTAATCTTTTCTTATCTCTATCTAGAAAATCTAAACAATGGGGATTTCTAAAATATATATAATCTTAATTCATATCGTGCACTTATCACGTAATTTGATAAAAGAATTAAGGATACTGAAATATTTAATCTACACAAAAACCAAGCATTGTAGTTAACAATAAAAATCCATAGTTGTATAGCAAAATATGAATAAAATCATAAGTAATAATGCAAACATTTTCAGATATTAAAAGAATTAATTTAAGAACTTAAGACATTCAGAAAAAACAAACATGCATAAATTTTAGTGTTCTTGGTAGAATGAATTTGTAAATTAGAACAGACATTGTCTGCTTTCAACTGACATTAAATATACAGTTATTTTCTAAATTATCACAATGACTGGAGTTAAACCAAAAGACAGTTGACAAAAAAGTAGAGAATATTTTGTGAGCTTTGTCTAGATTTGGAAAAAAAATAATCAGACATCATTAGATATTTTGTAACTGCTGATTTCAAACAATGTGAGTTTACAAGATCCTGAATCAACTAGAAAATGGTTAGTAGTAGAAAGCCATGTTTGGGTCAACCAAATGAAGTTTGGATAACAAAGACAAGCACAGCCTGAAGCAAACCCTCAATACCAAAGTTGGTCTCATGTCAGTTTAAACTCAATGGCCTGGGATATCAAGCAAAACTGAGAAGGATAGTGTTTGACATGGGATATGTGGTAAAAAGGTAAAAGTCTAACAGAAACAAACCTAGGTCAAGAATGGTGGTAACAGCAGTGATTATCCACATTTTTCAAAGGCACTAACATATACCTTTCAGATTTGATGTAACAACGGACAATGAAAGTTACTATCCATAAGAGAGAAATACCCAATAACAAGAAAAGATTGCATCACAAGGCAAAATTTGGACAAATGTTATTGGCCTGGCTTACAGTCAAGACTATCAGAGCCATTTTTTCATAGAATCAAAAGGAGCCATAGACCAGGACACTTATGTAACTGAGTGTATTAAGAACATATTGATCTCTTATAACCCAAAAAGCACCCAAACAAATAGATTTTTTGACTTGATCTGGCCACTGTTCCTATGTACAGTAGTATATCAGACTCAAGCTAAACTGATTAAATTGGGCATCAATTTTGTGCCCAAAGAAATTAACCCTCCAAACATACCATAATTCTGAACTTATCACAAAGGACTGGTTTATGCTAATGAATAGCATGCAAAACTCAAGATAGGGACTTGTTAACAGATGGAAAAAGTTTGCAAAAGTTATAAATGGTTCTTTTCCAAATCTCATGTCTAAGTTCATTTTAGGTCTACCATACTAGTACACAAGGAGTCCTCAAT